TTTTACTTGCTATTAGTAATTGTTTAGATAGTATTGGTTTTAACATATAATGAACGGTTAGTTTATACTTATTTCTTATTAAATGAAGGTGTTGGAGAAGATGAAAAACAAGAACGAATTATTTATGATAATGTTAAAGAAATTTTATCTTCTTTATCAGAAGAATTAGAACAACCATTAAATACAGGGACATTTAGTTTGTTAATGCCAATCTTTAGATGGGTTATTTCTAAAAAAGATAAAACAACAGAAATTGTTAAACCTCAAAATCAGACAATGAAATTATTACAAATGCATTGTGAAGTAATAACTAATCAATACCCAATTTTAGAGATTGCACAACTATTAAATAGTATTATTTTAGTTATTCCTCGTTTTGTTCAAAAGACGTTAAATTGTTTAGAACAAATTGTTAAAGTCTCAGATAATAAAACACTTCACTATATATTTAATAATTTATTAAGTGATGAAGAAAATACAAGAAGATATAATGCTGTTGCTTTAGATAGAAGTAAAGAATATTTGAGAGCTAAAAAGATTGACCATGAAGAATTATGTAAATTATATCTTGGAGGACATGACCAAATCAAAGATGTTTCTAATGCATGCAGATCAGTTATGAAGACTATTCACTTATACTGTGAAGAGCCTGGTGTTGAAGTAAAGGTTCCAGAAGATTTCAGAATTCCAGATCAAACTTTTGTTGAATACTATAAAAAAGATGAAATTTGCTTAAATGAAAACATTGATATTCAAGACATGATTGCTACTTCCATTTATTCTATTGCTAAGATTGGAAAATATAATTGTGGAGAATTATTGAAAGTTACTATGGACGAGTATAATAATAGTTTCCCAGATATTACTTTAGTACCAGGAATTGCTAAAGATTATCTTATTATCAGAAGTAAATTCTTAAGAAGAAGATTTTGTACCTTTGTAATTATGAAATTAGGAGGATTATGTACTGTGGAAGATATGAAAGAATTACTTCCATTTGCTATTAAGAAACTTACTAATGATGAAGAGCCAATGCCAGAATTAGTTGAGGAACAAGGAGAAAATATGTTTATTAGTAGAAATAGAGAAGAAGCAGAGCAAATTTATGACATTTTAGTAAGTATTAAAAAGGAAAAAGGAAAGAAAAATGATAAAGAAATAGAAATGGTAGGATTATTCTTTGGAATGATTGCTAAATATTTAGAACGAGATAATCCTAAGTTCCATGATATTATTCAACAATTAAGAGATTTATCAGTTAAACCATCTTTAGAAGTTCAAATGGCAGTTTGTAATTGTTTTGCAAATATCACAGATATTCCTAATGTTCAAGGAATGTTAGAAAAGATGTATGCCCAATGTTTAAGACAAAAGAATATTGAAATTAAAAGGGGAGTTGCATATTCAATTGCTGGTATTTGCAAAGCACATGGACTAGGAGTTATGTTTACATGTAAATTTTACGATAGATTTATTAAGAAACCATTAGAAAAATTTGATGTTGATAAAAAAGGAAAAAGATGTACTGAAGGAGAGAATTTAAATATTAACATGACAGCCTTAATTACCTTACAGTGTATTTGTGAAATTATGAGAGATATTTTTGAGCCTTATATTATTGATGTATTTAATTTAGTTAGACCTATTGTTAGTGAGGCAAATCAAGAATTAAGATTACAAGCTTCTGCTACTGTTAGAGCTATGAGTTCTGTTTTAACTCATCACGGTATTGGAGTTACAGTACCTCATTTAATTGATGGATTAAAATCAAGTGAATGGAGAGAAAGAAGAATTTCTTGTTTGTTATTAGGAGAAATGGCAAAACAAACAACTCATCAACTTGATGCTTATTTACCAAAGATAATAACTCCATTAGTAAATTTGATGATTGACTCTGATGCTAATGTTAGTGAAGCAGCCAGTGAAGCATTAAACAATTTAGCTAGTGTTATTAAGAACCCAGAAATTTCATCACTTATTCCATCTATTCTTGATGCTTTAGAAAATCCACCACAAAACACACCAGAATTTTATGAACACTTTGAAAAAATGCAATTTACTCACTTGATTGATTCTAGTTCTCTTGCATTAATTCATTACATTTTGTTAAGAGGATTAAGTGATCCAACTCACTTAATTAGAGCCAAGTCTGGATTATTAATATCATCTTTAACTAATTTGTGTGATGTAGATGATTTCCTTCCATATTTGGATATTTTTATTCCAGAGTTAAAGAAAAATATTACTGATAATGACCCTGAAGTAAGAGCTGCTGCTTCTAATGCAATTGGATCATTAATACAATTTGTTGGAGAACAAGCATTCCCAGGTGTTAAACAATGGATTATTGAAACATTACAATCTACAAAATCTACTGTTCATAGACTTGGTGCTGCACAAGCATTGGCTGAGTATTATCGTGCAGTTGGAGAGGAACAATTAAGAGAAGACTTTAACTCTATCACTAATTTAGAGAATCCAGTCATTACATCAAGACAATCAGTCATGTATTTATTATATTATTTCTGTTCAGCTCTTAAAGAAAGATTTAGTGACTTTATTGGAGAAGGGTTATTACTTATTGTAAAGGGATTAAGTGATTCAAGTGAATTAGTTAGGGATGCAGCAATGAAAGCTGGTTCAATTCTTGTAAGACAGTTTGGTAAGACTCATTTAAAGAAACTTCTTGAGACATTAGACAGTGCTATTTATAGTGATTCACCAAAAGTACAAGAGTGTGCAATCAACTTAATCGGAGAATTACTTGAAGGAATGGTTGACACAAATGATGCTAGTTTGGAGCCATATGTTCTTCTTAAGAGAAAGTTAGGATTAGAGAAAATTGGAGAATGTTTGGCTAATTTGTATTTGATTAGATTTGATGAAGAACATCAAATTTGTCAAAAAGCCACATTGGTATGGAAGAAGGTTATTATTAATGCAGGTAGAGCTCTTAGTGATTTAATTCCATATATTATGAAAATTGCAACAAAGAAATTATGCCTTGAAGAGAAAGACCGAAAGAGAGCAGCACGTTGTCTTGGTGAGTTAGTTGATTTATTTGAAAGTAAAATTGTTCAGGAATTAATTAATACACTCCAAACTCATTTGAACAGTAATAATGAATTAGATAGAATTGGTGCATGTAATGGTTTTGTTGAAGTTATCAGAAAGAGTTCATTAACAACATTTGATCAATTTAAAGGAGTATTACCACAATTAGTTGAATTAATGTGTGATGAGGTTGATGCTATTAGAGAAGAATCTAATCATTTGTTTAATGTAATTATTAGAAAATATGATAAACCATCATTAGAAGCTATTCTTGATATTTTATTAGGATTTATTAATGATGAAGAACAAATGCAAAAAGGAATTAGAGGATTCCAAATGATTATTGATAAGAATCATACAAATGAATTAATCTTTGAAACTTTGACACCAAAAGTACTTCAAGTACCAATAACTATTGCCAATTGTAAACCATTAACTATTTTATGTAAATCATCACAACAATTCTTCTTACAAAATTTCAATCTTATTCTTCAACGAGGATTTAACTCTTTAGCTAGTAAATATACCGAAGAAAATTATTGTGAAAAGATTAGAAAGATGATGATTGAAATTTGTTTAGAATATCCATCTAAAGACAAGTTATTTAGTATTCTTGGAGATTATATTGCTTCATATCAACGATCAATTATTAAAATTGAAACATTACGTATTCTCTCAGCTTATTTCAAGTTACAAACTACACAATCAAGTGTTGGAGTAGATATAATTATCTCATTCTTAATGGGATTAATTAGAAATGAAAAAGATCAAGATGTTGTTCCTTATGTCTGGGATTGTTTCGAACAAATGCATATGAAACTTACTAATGATAAGTACTATATTTATATTAATGCCCTTGCACCAATGATTCAAGACGCTTGTCAAACACCAGAAACTGCTGTACTTGTATTACCAAAAGATATTGGGCCATTGGTTAGAGTTGAAATTGATACTCTTAAGAATGCATTAACAGAGACAAAAGAACAAGCAATCAGATCATTAATATTCTTATTGAAAAGATATGAAAATGACTCTGAATTTACTAAGCATAGAGATAATATACTTGGGCCATTGATTAATATTATCTCTAAACAATGTGAATCTTCTCATAAGATTAAATTACTCACATTATTACAAACTATTTTTGCTACTGCACAACATCGTGGAAAAGTTAAAACATTTGTATTACCAATTACAATCACTTTGAACAAATTGTTAAGTGAAGGTGATGAGTCAGTTTGTAAAGTAGCTATCGAAATGTATAAGTATTTGATTGAATATGATCTTAAGATTGATACCTTATTAAAAGAAATTCAAAAAGGATTAAGTAGTGCGGGAACTAATTCTACTAAAATTAAAATTTATTTGCAATTACTAATTACTTGTGTTGATACTATCGAACCAAAGAAATGGAATGAAGGAAAAGAATTATGGGAAAAAGCAAAAAAAAGTACTAATTGGGTTGTTGAAACATTATACTTTGATATCTATAATCAATGTTTCCAATTAATTCCATTAGCACAAGAATATTATCAGTTATTAGTTAGAGCATTAGCCACAATGCTGAAATTCCTTCCAGACAATGATACTCAATTTAAAACTCTTTTGAAAATGGATGGATTTTCTATTGAAACAACGGAAGATTTAGTTGTACTAAGAAAGGAATTATGCAACACATATGCCAGTGTGTGTCCTTCAAAAGCTTCATTGATTAAAGAAGCTATTAAGTCCATTTAATAAAATCGAAAAAAAAAGAATCATTTGAATTATTTTAAACTTTATTTATGAGGTTATCTTTTGAATTAATTTTTCTTGACGTTGTTTGAGACTTGAGTCACTAATTTGTATTCCAGAGATTGAAGAAAGACACTCAGACTTAATTTGCATACGAGCCTGATCGTTGTTACTAACTACCATCAAAAATCCAATTATTGTATTTAATACTTGCTGGTTTGTTTTGAAAGTATCTTCTAATGCTCTTTTACAGAAATGAATTACGTTTAATTCAATCATTTGAGGGGTTACATCAGGGTCAATTGATAAATTCCATAAACAGCCAATACATGCTTTAAAAATGTCTTCGTTTGTACGGTGTTTGGCTAGTATTTGTGCAATTGTTGCTTGGAAGTTGTTTGCTACTATAACTTGTCTTGAAGATTCTAAAATACTCAAATTTTTGCAGCAATTAGAAATAGCTCCACAGACCTTAGCATCTCCACTGTATTTTGTTGCTGCTTCGTTGAAAAGAAGAAATAGTGATGGTTTTAATAATAGTGGATGAAGTTCATTATAACAAGAGAAATTAATAAGACAAGCTGTTGAGTTTAAGAAGATGTCTTTATAGTCAAGTAACCGTTTTGCATTAGAAACAATAAATTCAGTAGTTTCACTAGTAATATATGTCAATGCTAATTTGTTATTAACTGAAATAGAGCATATGAGTTGAAGCAATTTATTGTTAATTTGTTTATCGTTAAGGTCAAGATTCTTAAAAAGGTCTTCTAATGATATAATTATTTTTGAAGGTGTAGGTTCTGCTTTTAATAATGATATAACACAACTCAGACATTGTATTACAATACCTTGTTCACGAGAGTATGTTAATAATATTTCTTGGACAAATGGTAGTGTTTGTTCAGAGATTTTTTTAGCAACTATTTCATCTATTAGCATGTTCATAATACAAGTTATCATTTTAGAATTTAATTGCTTTTTTTCGGGGAATCGTTTATGCAACGTTATAAACAAATCAACGATTCCCTTTTCAACTAACTCATTTGAACAATCTCCATTTTGAGCAAGATTAATCCCAGCTCCAATTGCAGAAAGAGCAACATCTTTTTTCTTTAAATGTTTTTCAAAAGCAATTACAACATCATCAACTAATCCATTCTTGAATAATACTTGATTGTTTTGTTCTTTGAGAGCAAGGCATTGAATAATAGAACACCCAGTTGATTGACACACTTTATCATGAATTGTTAATTCCATAGCCTGGTGAAGAGAAGATAAAATACCTGAGCTGATTACTATATCAACTTGATTTTCATCAAAACAAATATGAAGAAGAATTCCTAATATATTTCTCATTAATGGTAATAAAGATTCTTTTGACTTATCAAGTAATGGTTGAGAATCACATATTTGTTTTAGTGTTTGAGTAATATAAGGAATAATATTCATTTGAATCAAACGATCACAACTACTTTGATTTTGAGAAATGAAAAAAAGGAAACTCATTAACTTTTCTTGAACAGAAACTGATTTTCCTTGTGCTACAGTAAATAACTGTTGATAAATTCCATTGTTAATAAATTCTTGACTTGCTTCGTCACTTGAGTTTGCAACAGATCTAATTGCAGAAATGAGACTACTAATAACTTCATCATTAGAACTGAAATTATTTGTGATACTAATTAATAAAGAATTTATACCTATTTTCTTTGCTACTGCATATTCTGTTTCTGTGAAAATACTATTAGCAATAAAAATACATAAGGCCTTCATTACATTGGCTGAATTCATCCATTTCTTTCCTAAATTAATACATTGTTCTATCATCCCAGTAGAAACAAAAAAAGGTATCACATAATCATCAATACTTAATGCTGACATTAAATTTAATGCAGTTACACTTGTCTCATCATCAGTAATTCTATCATAACTTTTTAAAACTTTTTTAATATTACTTTTTGTTACTAAATTTCTTCTCACAGTAAAATCTGCAACAGTCATTAACCCCCAGCATAGTCGAAGAAGATCATTTAATGTAATATTTGTTATTGTTTCATCATTATAATGAATAACTCGAATTATCTCACAAACACTTTGTCCAATACCACAAGCAATCATTTTCTTTTTTGCAACTTCACTATACATTAGTACTGACACTAACAAAGAACATATTCCACATAAACATTCTCTTTTCATACTTTTGAAATCTTCCAATTTTTTTGAACAAAACTCAATCAATCCTTTCTGAATACAATACATTTTAATTTGATTACTTTTATCATCAGAAATACTTATTTCTAATTCTTTCATATTCTCAACAACATCAATCCCTTGTTCAATATTTGTTAGAAGGTTTACTATTTTCTCCATTAAATATATTTTTATTTAAAGATTTTTTTGTTATTTTTTTTTCTTTTTACTCTCAAAATCAAATTTCTCACACTTTTACATATAAAAGATGTAATAACCAGCCTAAACTAAAGATTTTTATTAAGTCAAATCTAATGATATAGTTATAACAACCAGTCTTTTCTCTTTTCTAACCTGAGGTCTTTATTTATTTAAACTCAAACACTCTAATACCTTTGTTTATGTTTAATGGTCGTATTGATTGTTTTTGTTACCATTGTTTTTTTTGTGTCTCTTTTGAATTATTTAATTCTTCTGCTGTGTTAGTTACAATAAAATAAATTCCAAATCTGTGTAACAAAGATAATTGTTGTTTGAAAAAATATTTAATATAAAATTATTTTTAATTGTTTAAAATAGAAAGAGCAATAAAACATATCTGATTTATCCTCAAAGAACTAACACAAAGGAATAGGTGTTACAAAGACCATCAATCACAAAAACACGTAAATAAAAGCTGACAAAAGAAATATAGAGAGGGGTAAACCCTAAACTAAAAACTCTCCCCACTACATTAAATCATTTTCAATAAAGAATTTTGTACAGTAATAAAATAAATTATTAACTAGCAAAATGTCTTAAGGGTTTGACGAGTTATATTAAGTTATTGGCAATACAGTTTAGTGATTTTATTTTGATTGATTCACTAAAAGAAAATTAAAAAAGAACTATTAAATTACAAAGACTGAATTAAATGGATTTAACCACTTTTTGTAATGAATTAAAACAACGAATTCCTGGTTCAATTGAAGTAGCGATGTATGACCTCAATAAGGTTGAAATTGCAACAAGCAATGAACAACAAACAAACGATAATTTGAAGTATTTAAAAGAAGAAGAAATATATGATAATGTCTCAAAGTTTGGGAGAGGAAAACACAGTTGTTCTACAATTGTGATGGATGATAAAACAATTATGATATTGACTTGTGGAAAAATTAAAGTATTTATTTCATTACGGCCTTTATCTAATATTGGACTTATATACTCTCTTCTTCCATCAATCCAATCAAGTCTTTCAACGATCGAAATCTAATTCATATTATGTTATTGGTTTACTATTTGAATATTAAAATACTGAATGAAATTATTTTTTTATAAGATTAGATAGAAGTAAGAATTAAAACATAAATGAAATGATATCAATGTCATTCATCTTTTTCACAAAACATAACAATATTAGTTGTTTCTATCAATGGTCTATTAAACATAGTTTGAAATTATCATTTTAATCACTTTGACATTAACATAAAATTAATTT